TACCTGAGCTTCTATTCAAACATGCAGAAAGAGGGGGAAAAGAGAGCATCGTGGTACATATATGCTCAGAGTGGAAGGATGGTGATAGTGATGAAGAAAATTACATCAATGAAAGCAAAACCCATATGGAACAAGTGTGCCATTTTGACAAGACATCAAAACAGGGAGCATAAAAACAGACACATGATTGGTATTTCATTAATCTGCTGCATAAAGAGTGTTGTGTCAGCCTTACATGGCCAGATATTTATTAGCAGGGTCTATAGATGGTGGCACACATCAGCTCTAGCAAAGAAAGCCAACTAGGTGAGAAATAAAAAAAAAACATTGAGGAGAGAGAGAAAAGGAAAATCGAAGACCCTTCCTGGTTTCCAGCGAGAAGGAGTATTCTCATCTTGAGGCTCCTTCCAGTGCAGTAGGTGTCAAAGAGGAAGATGATGGTGATTACTTTTTTCTTTTTTTTTCCCCTCAGTGTTGAAATCTTTTCTTTGGGACCTGCTTAAACTTCCTATTTGTAAATATTAATTAGAATATGCTAAATAAGAGCAGTTGTTGCACAGTGATTGATTGTTAAGCTTTTGCATACATATATTTTTGGACAATACTTATGAAGTATTTATATGACCATTATATAATTCACTGCATACTGTGGCTTGGTTTACAAAACAAAAGACAAAGAAAGGGAGCAAAAAATAGAGGTGAGTTTCAGGACAGTGGGACCTTTTTCCCAAGATGCTTCTCTGTAACAGCGCAATCCGGGTTTGAAGGTGCAAGGCCTCAAGAACAAAAGCAGGGGATTAGCAGTGTAAGGACTGCAAGGGAGAAATACTGCCAGGAAAGCTCCAGAAAGTACTGCCACAGAAGCTGGAGAGAAAAGCTGCAGAGCTGCAAGTGTAAAACAGGCAGCAGAACTGTAAATGGAAGGCTGTAGCATTAAGAAGGCTGATATTGATCAGTTGTTCAAACAATCTGTTGTGCTGTTATAGCCCAGGATAACACTGTATCAAGCAGTTAAATGATCCATCAGCTGCAAGTAAATGGGGGAAAGAATGGACTGTCATGATATATCTGTTATTTGTGCCAAGATTTTTTGCATCAGAACATTTCTTGTAAACAAGGAAAGGTACAAAATACCTTAAAAGAACTAACCAGTGCAAAAATTATCTGACCGTATTTCATTACTTTTTATTATAATAATTTTTAATAGAAATTGGTATTCAGGAATGTTAAGAGGCTCCCAAAATGATTGGTTATCTCCTTTCTACAAAATAAAATTAACTCAGCACCGCTGTGTTCACCACTACACTATATCCACAGCTATAACATCATCCACACTCCTTTTGAACACTTTCAGGATTGGTGATGCCACCACTTCCTCAGACAGCCTGTTCCAACGTCTGACCACCCTTTCAGTGAAGAATTCTTTCCTGATATCTAATCTAAATCTCCCCTGGTATAACCTGGTAATTTCCAATCATCCTGTCACTTGTTAGCTGGGAGGAGGCACCAATCCCCACCTCACTACAACCCCTTTCAGGTACCTCTAGAGGGCAAAAAGGTCCCCCCTCAGTGGATGTTACTTATCATCACTCTCCCTTACTCTCTATTCATAGCCAAAGCCACAAGCACTTGCCTGCATCAGTTTACATACTTGTTCAGTTCTAGGAAATATTTGGAGTGTCTCTTTCTAATTCAGCATGATATAAATTCAATCAGTTCACTAGAACTGTTTATATCATGGAAGCAACACATGGTATAGTATTATACTGTGTCTGGATTTTGGTTTGTAGTTACGAGTCATAAAACACAAATTTCAGGAATCCTTATTCCATTTTGTACCCTCCCGAATTTAAAAGAAATTGGTATTATCAAAAGACAAGTTCTTTTTTTATTTTTAAACTGCTTCTGATCACTCAAATATATAATTGCTGTAGTGTGACAAATGGGTAAAATCTGGTAACGAGCATAGGGCTGAAATGCCTGGAGATTTGAGCAGACAGTAATGTCTGTGTTCAAACTCTTTTATCAGCAGAAATAGATTGTGACAAACAGTGAAGCAAATTGATAGCAATGAGGTTGATACTGCAGCTTTAACCTGAGCTGAAATTCTCCGTGCATAGAGCATGTATCTTCTACAAGACTTCTGACAACTATTGCTGTTTTTCTCATGTGGGGAGGAAGGAGGTTATTAAATAAAGCCCCTATTTAATTAGCCTTGTTTAGATTTACGTTGGATAAAGAGGAAAGACATTGTTATTAACAGCCTGCTGTTATAATTGATTCCATGCACTGTAGAACTTACCACTGCCTTATTAGAAAATGTTTAGGTAATTTCAATCCTAACTTCTAAAATATGCTTAAAGTACTACAACAAACCAGGAAGTGACTTGAAAATATTAGGAGAGGTGCAAATTTATGTACTTTCAAAGGTTCTAGGTTATAAGATTGAAATCTCCAGTGCTAGATGGTACTTAAACGCATTGTCCAATCTTTATCTGGCCTTCTTTAAGTGAAGCAGTAGATTTCAATTCACTTCCATGTGAGCAAATGACCACTCTAAAATATAACGACAGGTTGTACTTATTGTTTCCCATGGTGGCAGTTTAAGTTAAGATCAAAGACTAAGGAGATTTTGAGACTAAATCACTTTCCTGAGTCTGAAAAGTACTTATGCGGGTGAAGGTGAGGGACACAACCAATGCTACTGTTCACCAGGCTGTGGATAACCACAGTAAATCATTTTGCTTGGCTACCATAAAAACAATATTGTCTTTCAAACTCAGAGTTGGAACAACAGTAGTTGGATGAAAATCTACTGACAAAACCAGATGTTTTTAGAGAGAAAAAGGATACCTCCATGAAAAAATTAAGGTCAGTGGAGGTCTCAGAAAAGAAAATTTTGAATAGAATTTTGAACAGGACTTCTAGATTTGGCACAATGGACAGAAAATGAAAGTTATCCTATAAAAACAGACAGGTCCATATTTTCTGTGCTCATGGGCTCACTGTGCTGCTAGAAGGAAATTTTGGAAATTCAGATTTACATGCATAATTTTTTCTATTAGTTGCACAGATTATCCGTCACAGAACCTAAAATGTTATCAAGTCTGTTGTTGGAAAAAATAAGACTTTCTGGATGCCAAAGGATTCTAGGTTTATATAACCCTCTGCATTATTGTTCTTCTACCAAATGCTCTGTGGAGTTATGTATACACAACATTAGGGATGATTTCCTTTCCTAGATTACAGTCTGAGCTGTCAGTCCAGTCGAATTCAGTTGATCCCTTAACATTCCCTTCATGCACAGCTTTGTTCAATTTGAGATCCTTACCACATTTATCTTTTTGCCAGGCAAGTCCTTGAAGTACTAAATCTTTGATAGCTCAGCAAATAACAGCAAAAACATCTTCTATTTGTATAAAATTACTTCTCAGTATGAAAAATGATAACACTTATCTTTTGGTACAAAACTACAGATATAATTTAAAAACAAGCAAAGCGATGTGGATTTTTTAAGAGAAGCTTTTCCTTTTAATTGCAATTGCTAGTGAGCATGCAATTTTAGTGAGTGAAAATTTATCTACAGCCCAAATAAATGTTACTTTGGTGATAGCTTTTATAACACTACATCAAGCACTGGGATGCTCATCATACTTAACACCTGGGTCTGCCACAGTAAAAGTATGAGTAATGCAACCAGTGATGAAAGGTTTACAGTGGTTTTGTTATTAACAGGAACCGATTCAAATAATGTTCAATTTGTCAGGCTTTAAAATGAATAAACAAAACTCAAGCAAACCTGAACATATTTTTACCTAACAAAGTATCAGTGTGTGCAGAAAAAATGGATGTATGACTTCATGCACACAAAAGATATTATTTTTCTTAAACTTACTCCATTAAAAAACATTTTGTTCAGGATCAACTCCTCCAATTTAAAAAATAGTTTTCCTTCCTATACATTTAGTGCTGCATTTTGATGGCTGTATTCCTCAAATGAAGATAACTATGCTTATGACCTTCACACTAAGATATACATCACTAATGTTGTTCAATTAAAAGCCTTATTGAAGTAAACACAAATTTTAAAAAACAAATCCACCAAGAGAGTACATTATGACTTCCATAGAGGCAAGAAGAAGAATAAATTGACTGCAGCTGACAAGACTTTTAATGGAGTTGACTTTGCTACATTGTACTCAAATTATATACATTAAGTTTTAAAATTTCCTGTCCTTTCCTTTGTGAACTTCATTTTTCCCTGCTAACATAGCATGGACATTTAATTTACATTTCATTAGTGAGAAGAGTGAGTTAAATGACTGCAGATTTTATTTCCAAACTTGTTCACATTAAAAATTTCTTTCTACTAAGAAAAGTTCAAACCATTTTACAAGAGACAGGTTTGAATTACTTTATCATACTGTTTGATTGTATGAATCTCTTTTTTAATCAAGTGGTAATATTTGAACTTGGTACGCCTATTTTTTTTCCATATGATTCTTATCGACTTAAAAAATGGCTGCACTGTTAGAACATACCTCATACAGGGTAGTTGATAAATAAAATATAGGCTTAGTATTCAGATATTAAACTACGCACTAGGGAAGTAAAGTGTTGGGAGGTAAGAGTATTTCAAGAGCCATGTTACCTGTGAGAAAGACATCAATGTTTATAGCAGCATCCTTTCCATATTAAAGTCAGTAGAAGGATGTAAGTAGGATTTGATGAAAAGTCCTTTTGATTCCCTCACAAATATTATCAGATACCTCAATAATAATAGGATATATAAATTTAAATTAATATCTTCTTGATAAGAATTATTTGGAGTAATTCTGGTGACCTGCATTTTGCACCTCTTCTTGCTAACGTTTCTTTCCAGTGTTACTGAAACAAGTAATCTTTTAATTTGGCCAGAATTTGGTAAATGGGAGACATATAAAAGCATGCAAATTTCTATCAGTTCACAGCACACAGATGACAAGTGCATGGTCACTTACTGCCTTGATGCTTTCAAAGTGTCCACCTTCTTTTTCAAAGTCAATTGGCTGCCCATTGAGAGTCCAATAGAAAGTAACATCAAGTGTGCTGTCATGAAGGGCTTTGCAACTGAGGACAATGCTTTCTCCAACCGTTAACTCTATCTTCTTGGGAGTCAGTTCTATTCTTGTAGGTTCTTGAAATATAGAAGAATTAGGAATATTTAGATGGAAGCCTACTTACAGTGCTAGACTAAAATAATATGATTGAGTAGTCCTTAGTCTACTCAGAGCTTACATTTCCTGTTTGTTTCAAATACACACTGTCAAATAGTAAACTAGATTCCTAGTGTACACTGAGGTGTTGACAGTGGGATTCAGAAGGTACAGACAGTTTCATGGGAACAATAATGCAGAATCCTAAACAACAATCTATAGGACATCTGAATTGGATTAATTAATTAATTTCAATATTTTCAGGAAAAACAATTAATTTTTTGTAAGGCTGCAGCACCTGGAATATTGTGATTACATGAAAATTTCAGTTTTGTAACATAAAAAATGATGTTTCCTGGATAACAAATATAGGAAGAAGCTTGAAAATTGAAGTTAAAAAAAAAAGTACAGAAACCCCCTACAAACAAAATCTATGATCATATATGAATTCAGCTGAAAAATTAAAAAAAAAAAAAAAGGTTTAGAAGTGGACTGCAACTCAGTGGTTTGATTATTGTTGCTCTTCTAAGGAACTGTGACAGGAAATCTGCAGTACATGAGAAAACTGTGGTTTAAACATGTTTCAAAAAAAAGGGTGAAGGAACTATCTTTCTTTAGATTTTATATAGATACAAATATCGCTTAAATCTACAGGTTTGTTCCCATGCAGAAAAAGGTAGGACTAAGTGAATTCCCAAAGCTACAATATGTCAAAAGGGATATGGATTCTTTTACTTATAGAATTATTTATAATTTGAGCAATTTAATATATATACTAATTCTTCTGATACATCTATTATATGACAGCTGAATATGCAATTTGATGCAGGAATACAATGTTTAACCAGATGGAGTTTTCTCCCCCTAACATGTTGCTTTTTTATTCTGCCTCTACAATCCTCTTGTTGGGGCATTGACTGGGAGATTCTAATTAATATTCAAATATTAGTCAAGACAAGTCATCATTATCATCAAATTATTTCTTCATACCTTTTACAGATATTGATGCAATGATTTCTGCAGATCCAAATACATTTACACCTTGGCATAAGTACCGTCCTTCATCAGACTTGGAAGCATTCAGGATTCGTAGACTCCCATGTGGAAGAATAGTTATCCTGAAAAGGATAAATAGATAAATATATATATATATATCCCATCCTAGCAGCCAAATTCCATGCTGGTATCTTTTAGAGATAATAAATAGAATTGAGGACTGCTCCCTCTGTAGCAAGGCATGATGAAGATTATAACTGTTTCAAAAATAAACCCATTTTACTCCTCCATTAATTCAAAATGTTCATTTTGGAAGCATCAGTGAATTAGTATCCTTTGACACTTATTAGTGGTGAATTTTAATAAAATTTTTGTAAAAAACTAAAAAACGTAATCCTTCATAATTTGTCTTTAAAGTTTCATCACTGTATTATTGTCAAGTTCCATTTCAACATCAAGCACAAACTATTCAATTTATTAAAAAATGGCCTCAGAAATCAGATCTGAGAATAAAGGAAAGCAAAATGCAAAAGAGGGTCAGAAAACTCCCCAATTAAATTAATTGTATCTGCTCAAAATATAATTAATGGGACTACACAGCAAAGGGACTTATCTCTGCTTTTTTGTAGATTGGCTTTTATTTTTTTCTTTGAGTCTGTATGATTGCAGCGCCACTACACCTACTGGCAAGTAGCCCCACTGAAGCATACTCATGAGAAATGTTCAACCATTCACATTTAGAAGTTTCAAATTTTGGCTTTGCTTACACAATATTAATCATAATGTCCATTAAGTTATGTGAAAATTAACACTTTTTTGCTATTCTAAAATGACAAAGAACCTGAATTTATTCTATCTTAAAGCTGCAGCCCTAGAAGAGAAGTAAATAATCATTGTTCCTTTTCTGACAGAGAAGTACAAGGCTAAAAGGAAGATGGCAACTATTCCATGGCATTTAAGCCAAGTTCCTGCAGGTCTTGTATATCCCTTCCCAGGTTAGATAGTGGTTATGGTTCTCTCAATGGTCTTAGGAGATGTAGGTGGAAACCCATCAGGAGCCATGGACACTGAAAGCACGTAATCCTCAGCAAATGCTTCCAGTAATCCCATATAAGTGGAGGAGAAGATGGAATGCTTCCTTCTTCTGTATTTGAAAACTGAGGTAAGACTTCTCTGTTAGGGAGTCTAAGTAGATGAGTGGCTGTTCCCCAGTGATGGCTGGCTTTTTAGATGTACCTCCCCAGAGAGGATTTTCTATCTGTTACAATAGTGACTGACACTCCTTCTACTGGGAGTCTCCTGTTGAGTCTATGATCAAAAATCATTGAGGGTACAAGGTTGTGATTTACTCTTCAGAAGTATTTAACCAGGAGTATGGCACTTTCAACACATCTGGGTTGGACTCTTCAGCAGCCAGGAAAGAGAAGGAATTCCCTTTCTAGGCTGAATTTGTTAAAGTGCAAAGCTGAGTTATCTTTGGTTTATACCAGGAATGATTTACCATAGGCTTAAGATTCAATAATGTGCTCAGACTAAATCACTAATATGAGACAGCATATCTTTTTCTTCCTCCTTTTTGTTTCTTTTTTTTTTTTTTTTTTCCTCAGGAAAAGAATAATATCCCCTATTTTCTGACTCTGTGAAAAAATGGTGGTTTATCACCTGAGGTTTATAAACATTACGGTGGAGAAAACAGAATTTCATTCCTGTGAAAAATATGCTTCAGTTCACTTCAGATGTGAAACCACTCACTGCTCTCAGCAGAGAGACAGAAGAAAATAATAGCTTCAAAAGTGAATGGGGCAGAGGAGGGACATGTGGAACTCTCAGGTTCCCTAGTGCAACCTGAGGATGCATCCTGTCTTGCTCTGACAAATACACATCACTATTTGAGTCACATTGTTTGTCTACAGGTAATTTTATAGAAAACAAAATTATATTAAACAAATGTCTCTACATCATAGTTTTGAGGTTTTGGAATTTTTTTCCAGCAAATAAAAAGGTCTGAAATTTTGTTATGATATGTCACACCTTTGAAGAAACACTTGCTTTAGAAACTGACAGGGATGCAAGCTTCTTTCATTTTCTCTTGATGTAAGTTTTGTTTTCCTATCAAGATGCTCAGTGTTCAATGCTCTGTGGACATCTTATCATCAGTATGAAAATAGGCTTTGCAGAACAGTAATAGTTTTCATCAATATACTGTCAGGATCAGACAAATGAAAGGACATTCTTTTAGTGTTTGCAAATTATAAAAGCTTATACACAGGTTGAGTCCTGATATAAAACTGTTTTTCATTCTGAGATTGGAAGAAAAGAAGGTTAGATGCATATAAAAGATTAGCTAATGAATCTTACATATATTATCGATTACATTTCTATTTAGCTAAAACTTGTTGCCATCCATGAGGAAAAGAGTAATTGCTCAATCAAACGAATTGCAAACACATTTGCTGATGAGTTATTTGGCTCAGAAATTAATACTTTCCTCAAAGTGCCTAGCACTCATCTGTCCTCCCTTTTTTTTAGTGTTTTGGAAAAGAGCCAGGGGCCTGGTTATGATGAAAACTGAAATGCTTTATTTATTCACATAACACTTGCTGCACACAGCAGGAACATAGACTTCTCCTCCTTCCCTGCCAATATCTCTCAGTCATGAAGAGACCACCTGTGTAGTATGTCTACATATTTTAATAAGAAAATACCACAGCAAAAAGTTTTGTAATTTCATAAACAGAAGGGAAGTAAAAGAGGAGAATGGTGTTGGGGTAGAACTAAGGATAATTTAGGAAAAAAACCAACCCTGAATTATTAACTAACTAGAAACTGAGGGAAAGGTGATGATAGACGAACCAACAGAGAAAGATGGATGAGAGATTAAGATGATAGTTTGGAGATTATTGTACTTAAGAAAAACTCATTTTAATGAGATAAAGGAGACAGATGTTGTCCATACAGGGATTCTGAGAAGAGTGTCACATAAAATTAGCATCTCTGTACAAAACAGTTTTCTGTCTTATAACATGAAGAAAAAGACATGATTGATAATGTCTTGATGTTAAAAAACATGTTGGTTTAAGATCAATTGCAACAAAGATTTTAGCAGTAATTATCTGAAAATAATAATCAAGATATGACAGCAAATAGTTATATGATAAAATTCAACATGATTTAACTAAAGTACACTGAATGAGATTCATTTTTTATGATATTTACTAAGAAATATTTTCTAGAGAAAATAAATATAGGTTTGATCTTCCATGGGTTTCAAGCATGATTTTCATGACTGATTAAATATGTTTAAGGATTGTTAAGAAACTGGCTGAACAAAAGTGAATTTTCTTTTTTTTTGAAAGAAAAATTGTTTTTTGTACCATTATTTTTCAAAATTACCAGAATATAAAAAGGTTGCTAAACATATGATTAAATATATGGTTCGTTAACACAACAGGATCAGTATTTCAAAGAAGACTCATAGAAAAGCAGTAGATGTGACTCCGAACTAACAGGACTATGTAGCAAAGGCAAATAGAAATAGAAATTCTCAGATAGTATTTGTTGTTAGTAGAGGACATACTGTTGTATGTTGGAAATTGATATTGGAAATTTTCATCTCTCTTTATCACCAGGGACAGTTTTACCTTGACCCACTGGGGCCAGGATGTGCCTTTGTTCTCCCTATCACACATAAAATCAGTGAGCAGAGACTTCCATCAAGATTAAGATAATGAGAATAGGAAACTCTAATTTTCATTCTGTTGCATGATTCATAGCAGATTCTCACAAACAGATGTCTTGATGCTGCGGCTAGAAATGGTTTCTTGATGCTGAAGGAGCTGAGCAGTTGAGGCAGCAAGCATAACAATGGCTACACAACCTTCAGAGTTTTACTGAGGACTTTTTGCAGACAGGGGCAGAGTGTCCGGATCTTAACAGAAATGAATGTCAGGCAGTTTATACCTGAAGGTATATATTCGTTAAATGACAATTACAGAGTAAGAAAAAATAGAAGTCAAATGTGTGGCCTTTTTTGGGTGGGAGGAATTAGCAGTTTTGTTAGGTTATACACTCTTGTATCTTTCTCTGTTTTCAATTAATTTTTTGGTATTATTTTTGACTTTCAAATTAAGGTAAGTTTTTATAGCACTCTAGAGAAATAATCACAGCAATCAGGGAAGCACTACATTTAGTTAAAATCTTTGCAAACTTTAACACCTAGTAACTGGATTAAAGAAAAAAAAGTTTTTGGTGGTTAGAAAGTTGTCCCCTGCATTTTACGTTTAGATCCAAAACCAGGAGTATGGAATTGGTTTGTGTGTATGTTGGAAATAAGAACTTTAAAGATGCAAACGGAGAGAAGCTGCACTGACTCATTTAGCCTGTGGCCCCTCACAGTGTTCTGATCTGAGCAATTTGTCATTTCAGGTTAGCTCGGGTTTGGGATCTGTCAGTATCCTTTAATGTAGATTACAAGGAATCAGGACAAGTATTTGTAAATAGTTGAAATCTTTATTTCTCCAGGAATGGCTGTGGGCTCTCTCATTTTCCCTTGTTTTTTCTTGCTCCTTAATAGATACACAAGCCTCTAATGCTTACAGAAAATGGATGTGAGTTACTGCTATAATGTAACCACTTAGATAAGCAAAATGCCATCTACATTATATACATTTTTTAACAATATCACCCTAGATAGAGTAATCTTATTTTAATATTGTTGACTTAATTAGAAACATAACTATATTTGGCCCAATCTCTTGTCAAAGCACAAAAATATTAGAATTTTCTTCACTTTCAATTTTCAAACTTTTATAATGGTGCAATTCCTGTATGTGATATCTTAGGTGATTGGAATATGCTAAGACTTACTATTAATGTACCAAAAACTACTTCCAGCTCTAGTTAAGCTGATCGGTGCAAATTGAGTCTTAGGGCACTTTCTTTCAAAGGAACCATAACCAGACCCCTCATTTTGTTCTTGCTGTTTGCTGCACAGGAACATTTGTTCATGAAAATACACAGCTTTTACTGGTGCAAATGTTGTCCTTGTATGTAAATATAATTTCAAGTGAATGACATGAAAAGTCATTTTTTGCTACAAACCTAGCTTCTGTTCTAAGCACAT